ACTAATCAAGGGAATAATGAAATTCCGTATACGAGTGATTACCTAATCATATAAGGTTTATCACAGCAAAGTCCAATCAGGAGAGCTTTATTTCGTGCCTGAAGACGAGAAGTTGCTGTTAAAGAAGTTGAAGCAGTCGAAGCAGTTGAAGAAATTGAAGAAACCCAAGAGCCAACAGTCGCGTGAGCTTCCTGGTCATATCTCTATTAAGCGGTCTGCCCAAAAACGATGCCGCCCGCTACTCCTGGGCGGTCAATATTGAGGCAGTCGCTGTCACTCTCACGACTCCCACGAGAGTTCTTCACTTGTCGGCAATGTCTACAGCGGCCTCAGCCAGCGAGAACTGCACGGCAATGGATAGGGACAAGTCAATTTAGAGACACTTCGAAATACACCTCTGGCTTGCTAGCTGCGTTTCGAGCCCAGCCTTCCAAGCCAGTGGTTCCAAGGTCATTTTTCACAACGGCAGCTACTCCAGCAGTAGGAGAGGCTGTTTCTAAGTCAAGGTTTCCTGATATCAGCTCCGAGGGAGTTGCATACTGGCTGCTGGCGAGCGCAGCAAGTGTCTTTGGCATTGTTGTGTTTGGCGGCCTAACTCGTCTTACCGAGTCTGGGTATGCTGATCCCGAGGCTCCGACACCTGGTGTTATGTTCAATTGCTGACATCTGTATAGACTTAGTATAACAGAATGGAGACCTGTAACGGGCTCTATACCACCACTGAACGAAGATGACTGGGAATCCGAGTTTGCCAAATATAGGGCATCACCAGAGTTCAAGCTTCTCAATCCCAACATGACTCTCCAAGAGTTCAAGTCGATATATTATATGGAATGGATACACCGTATATGGGGCCGTTTCGTTGGCCTTTCTTTCGTTATTCCTGCCGCTTACTTTGTTGCCACAAAACGGGTCTCAAAGTCCATGAGCCTTCGTCTTGCTGGCATTGCTGGTCTTATTGGCTTCCAGGGCTTCCTGGGTTGGTGGATGGTCAAGTCTGGGTTGAAAGATGACCTGTTCGCGCCAGGTAGCCATCCTCGTGTCAGTCAGTACCGGTTGACTGCACATCTTGGAGCTGCCTTTGTTTGCTATGTTGCCATGTTGTGGAACGGATTGGCTATTCTACGCTCCCATCGCCTCCTCGCGGACCCAGTCAAGGGCTTAGAAGTCCTTCAGGCGCTGAAAAATCCTAAACTGGCCGTCTTCCGTCGCTCTGTTGCCGGACTTGCATTGCTTGTGTTTATCACTGCCATGTCAGGTGGGCTCGTCGCAGGCCTCGACGCTGGTTTGATCTATAACGAAATCCCATGGATGGGCAACGGTCTAACTCCTCCGAAGGAAGAGCTATTCGATGAGTTTTACTCTAGAAAAGAAGACCGATCCGATCTATGGTGGAGAAATATGCTTGAGAACCCATCCTTTGTACAACTTGATCATCGAATCCTGGCCATGACTACCTTCACCTCCGTCATGGCGCTCTGGGCGTACAGTCGTATGCCCGCCATGAAAAGACTTCTCCCTCGCGCAGCAAAGAAAGGTATTCATGGAGTTGTAGGGTTCACTGCACTTCAGCTGACCCTAGGAATCAGCACGCTCCTCTACCTTGTTCCAATACACTTAGCATCTGCCCACCAAGCAGGCAGCCTGTTCCTCCTCACCTGGGTTATGGTCTTGGGCAGCCGCATATGGCATCCTTCTCGCACGGCAAGGCTCCTTCAGCAAGCTGTTAAAGCTAAGCCGCTGTCTTCGACCTCACATGCTGCTTCTCCTCTTGCAAACAAGGGTTAATGGCTGCGTGACCTACCATTTTAGTTCTTCTCCCCTCTGTATTAACATTAACTATATAATAAAATGTACTATCTCCGCTAAAATCGGCAATTTAGAAGAAGGTGAAATCGTAGTTGTATTATTCTGGTATCATCTCGATGCTTCTCTCTAGCTAATAATAGTAGCTGTGTGGTTGTTCAAATTAATTCACATTGAGCAGCAGCTAAGCGTAAAATCCTTGCACACAGTACCAAATCAACCAGGATTGAGAGCGAATAGTCATCAATAAAAGCAGCAAGAAAGAAGTAAAATAGAAGGAAAACTAAACAACCACATCAGAAACTAAAAGAATTTGACTCCAAATGATGCTTAGTCGTATGCTGCTATGCCAGTTATTATGATAGTGATGGCCAAGGTTATTGTTAATAGCAAACACAAGAGCATTGTCACTGAGCTAAATAAAACGCAGGTGCAATAACTAGTTAGTTAGAAATCCAGATGTTTGTGGGCCCTGAACAACCCAACTTGTTAATCAACATAAATGCCCAGGAATAACATCCAAATGTTCACGGTCTATGACCCTTCTGGAGTGGTTTCCGTTATTCATTATCAAAGTTCCCATGCCCTGCCATGAGCTTTCAATATTCTTTTCTCTGCCTCATGTCGCTCCCGCTCTGAGGTTTCGTTTTTTTTGGTTTCTCTATCTCCAGGGAGAATATCTCTCAGGCCAAATGGAACCTCGCGCTGGTGAAGTGGCATCCGTGGATGACGGGCTGCTGACGGGTTGCTTCCTGGCCTAGGTTGATCGATATCCATGGGATCAGGCCTAGGTATCAATTCTGATACTGGCACAGCGGGAGGAGCAACGTACTCAATCAGATCCAAGGGTTGGACCAAGATTCGTCGTTTTGGGGCTTGCACAATACCACGCATATGCTCCGGAACTGGTGACGGGGATCGGAAGTAAAGCGAAATAGGAACGGGACGTACAACGGTAGTCGCACCTATAGTTCGAATTTGGGTAGGAACCGGAGTGGAGGGAGGTGGTTGAGAGGCAACAGCAACAGTGCTGGGTTCAGGAGCAGGATCTTGCTTAGGAGCTGGAGACGAATGTTGAGATGGAGTTAAAATCCAGCTACGAGCCGGCGGGTCAAACTTACGGGTAGCTGGCACAGGGGTTTTTGGGCCCTCATTTCTCTCCCTGGACTGCTTCTGGTCCTTTTCCCGTTCTTTGAGAGCCTGCTCTGCAGCGATGAGAAGCCAGTTCATCCGGGTCTGAGCCTTGGGGTTGAGGCCTTTGAATACTCGTTTTTGATACGCTCTGCCATCTGCGATAAGGACATCCTCGTTTTCTGGGTCTATATCCGTGGCATCGTCGTCTTCGTTTTCATTTTCTTCATCACCTCGATACCCACAGTCCTCCTCAAGTGCGCCGAGAGAAGTCAGGGAGGATGAGCTCGACAGATTATCGGCAATCGCTTGGCGAATATTTTCAGGAGTTCGGGGCGCTTTACTACAGCCGGCTGTGGCTTGTCTTGGAAGATCATTGCGGGAACTGGCTGGCTTAACACTGGCCGGGCCACTGGAAGATGGAATCTTGAAACTACCCAGACCACTTTGGAGTACCACCCTGGAATCACCTGCAGCCATCGGAAGCTGGCCAGGAGAACTATTTGCACTCACTGTTGAAAATATGGGAACGACGGAAGGGTTCCGATTGTCTTCAATATCTGGGTTCGGACGCGTCGATGTAGAAGCTATATCCTTTGCAGCAGCTTTACCCTTGTCAGGAGGAGTATCCTTTGCTCCATTATTGACATTTTTCCCTTTCTTTCGAGGTTTTTTCTGTGGCAGTTCATCATCTGAGCTGCGATAAATGGTCCCGGTGAATTTTCTGACGCTGCCATGGGCACCATTCCCACCCCTGGCATTCCAACAGGGGGTGCATATCTGCCACCCACAATCAATACAGCGCTGCAAGGTGGACTTGTTATGCTTATTGCAGACATCGCACTTCGCAGTGTGGATTTTTATTGGTTTGAAAATTGTATGGGGCCCCTGGGAGCTTCCAGCTGGTGCGGCTGCAAAGGAAGAAGGGCTACCATGCTGAGTGTGCATCGGTTGTTGAGCTGGTTGCCCCTGGGGTGGTCCTGGTGCTGGAATTCCCTGAGCAGATGCAGGAATAGTGTCCTGAGGAGACGGGCTTGAAGATATCTCAATCACTTCGACTTGCTTGCCGTTGACGGTGATATGTGGGACGTTTGTATTTATCTTGGGAGGTTGAGGCCGAAATGGATTGGTATCGGAGCTAGAAGTCCTCTCAGGAGTCGCGAGACCCTGTCCACTTGTCGGAAACATGATAGCCGTCCAACTTGGCGCTATAGAAGGTGTTCAAGCTTGTTTGATATCAAGATACTTTGGTCGAAGAGCAAAAGAGGTAAAACTGGTCAAAAGATGATGTGCCAGGAGCTTCATCTAATATGTAACAGTTTGATGTCCAAAAAGCAAACAGAGGCCCTGTAGAGAAGAATGATGGCTTGTTATACCAGGAAGGACTTTGCATGGACTAGTGGGGAAATTGGTGGTTAAGCGAGGAAGAACTTGGAGGCTTTGCAGAGAAAGAAAAAGATAACCAAAAGCTCTCACTACGGTTTCTTCCGTTAACTTTGGTATTGAATAGGACATTCACTAGTAGAGTGAGTCAGGTTCAAAGGAAGAGGAACACACTAATGGGCACTTCCGTAGTGACATTTCTGCAGTCACTTTGTTAGGATAGAGTCTGATAATGGTGCTATATGTGAAGTGAATATTCACATATAATATATAGGCTTGAGCTTGTAGCAAGATATCTCCTTCGTTATTTTACTTATCACGGATTCCTTATGGTATCAAAAGATTGGTAGGTAAAGTCCCCTGCCATCTGAAGTAACCACGTCTATGAGAGTATGTAGGAGGGCTCCTATATCAAACTAATCTGAGCTGATCTGAGCTCCATTAACAGGATGTAGACTTGAAAGGGTGGAAAGAACGGCGAATACTCGAAGACTCCAGGTTGAGAGAATAATGCTTTTTGTATTTCATACGACTCAGGGGTGAGATGTTCCTAATCCTAAATCGTTAATTGTTCATGAATCTGGAAGAGCGTTTAAGATCGCAGGTACAGGGACAAAGATGGCCTAATTTATTTATGGGCTAAGGCGTAGAAGTTAGACTCGTTCAGAGAGGATAGGTTATCAGTTTGGGAAATATTCTTGGGGGGAACAGTAAGGGGACTTACGAATGCCCTCAACAGGGGTAGGCTCAACACCAACAACCTCCGCCGCGAGATGGTCCTTGTCCTTTACAGCAGTCTTGTCCTCCTTCATGAATGGGAAAGCCAGAACCTCCTTGATACTGTAGTTGTCGGTCAAGAACATCACCAGTCTATCAATACCCATACCCCATCCACCAGTGGGTGGAAGACCATATTCCAAACTGGTACAGAAATTCTCATCTATCATTTGTGCTTCATCATCACCCTGTTCCTTCTGTCTGGCCTGCTCCTCAAAGCGTAGTCTTTGGTCGAAAGGATCGTTCAACTCGGTGTAAGCGTTAACTATTTCCTTCTTGCAGACAAAAGCTTCAAATCTCTCACACAGACCCGGATGATCACGGTGATACTTGGCCAGTGGAGACATCATTTGTGGATGTCCGATAATGAACGATGGGTTGATACACTTCTCTTCAATAAATTCACCAACAAGCTTGTCAAGCATTCGGGCATTGGTGAGCGGTGGGGTGCATTCGACGTTGACTTTCTTCAGGACCCCCTTCAAGAACTCATTGGTCTCCTCAGTGTGAAGTTGATCGCCTGGGGGGAACTTTTCGCCAGTGGCTTCTTCAAGAGCCGGGATCATTTCAATTTTCTTCCATGGGGCCTTCCAGTTGACGTTGTACTGCTCGCCGCTCTGGGTATGGAATACAGTCTCGTAGCCACCAGTCACATGCTTGACAAGGCCAGAGACAAGATCTTCGGTGACATTCATGAGGTCATATACATCGGCATATGCCCAATAGAACTCACAAGTGGTAAACTCAGGGTTATGAGTAAGGTCGATACCTTCATTTCTGAACTGACGACCCATCTCGTATACACGCTCAAGGCCTCCAACAATCAACATCTTGAGGTACAACTCGGGGGCAATTCGCATGAATAGGTTCATGTTGAGTTCGTTGTGGTGGGTAATGAAAGGCTTAGCGGTAGCACCGCCAGCAATAGCATTCATCATTGGAGTTTCAACCTCAACAAAATCACGCTCATCAAAGTATCGTCTGATATAGCTGACAATCTTGGAGCGAGTAACAAAGACATTTCTTGAAGAGTCATTCATGATCAAATCTAGATATCTCTGTCTGAATCGCTGCTCCTGGTCCTTCAGGCCGTAATGCTCTGAAGGGATCTGATGGAGGCATGGCGACAGAAGGATGACCTGACGGGCAAAGATCGAGAGCTCACCATCATCCCGGTTCTTTGGGTTAGTGCGTCCGGGGAACCCAACGATACCAACAATATCTCCTCTTCGTAGCTGTTCATGCTGGGCTTCGAAAGGCACATCACCAGTGGCCTCCTGGGCCTGACACGCAACTTGCACCTTCACGCCCTCTGCACGGAGGTCGTAGAAGATAAGTTTGGCTCCCGAAGAACGCTTCGTATATATTCTTCCGGCAATGCGCACTTCCTTCTCGGGCTTCTGCTCTCCCTTCTTCAGCGAATCGAATTCCTTGAGGAACTGGCGGAGGTCATCTGTGACCTGGAATTTGTGGGGGTATGGGTTGGGCTCCTTGGTCTGCCGAAGCTGGTTGATTTTGGTACTTCGGATCTCAAAATATTGCTGCCCGAAGACACGATTAGAATCGCTCACTCCGTGCAATGTAGTGCATCGCAGTGCTGAATAGAACCACTTACGTTGGGCGTGAGTTGGGATTCATCTTCTTCCTTGTTCTTCTTCTTGCCCTCTGCAGGTGCCGCAGCGGCAGCAGCGGCAGCCTTCTCGGCCTTCTTTTCCTCTAGAGCACGCTGCTTCTGTCTTCTCTTCAATTCCGACTTGGATACTCTCTCGCCGGTGATTTCGTCAAGCTGGAGGTTTGCGACAGAAGCCCCCGCCTGGTCAACGGCAGCTTGGTCGGCCATAGTTCTGTAGCAGGTTGTCCGGTGTTTTTTATCGAGTGTATCAGAATTTCTCGAGCATGAATTACCGATTCCAGGAAGCGACCCTGGAGTTCCTATTTATCGTGTAGATAATTAATGAGTCAAAGACGCGCAAATGGCGGGGAGTTGGAAGTTGTTACTTTTTTTCTTTTTCTGAATTTTTTTTTTTTTATTTTTATTTTTGCACACAAAAAGTTTCATGTCCCACATTTGTTAACTAACTAGTCAAACAATCGCTCTACTCCTGGTGAGGTATCTGTATGATAGTTATTGAACAAGAGGCCAGGGATATCTTGCAAGAGAATAGCTGTATTTGATAAATGGGCCAGGTAGCTACATTCTATATCTCTGCGAACACCCGTCTCAAGGGTCAATTCGGACACGGACTATCAATACCACAACCCATGCCTTCATTCAAACACATTCAATATTCAATTAAGGACACAGGTACCACATGGCCTCTGTTTCTATTGAAAGCTCGATCCCAAAGTTTCTTTTGAGTCAGGTAGCCATGAGAGTCGGCAATTAAGAATTGGAGTCGTAGAAAAGGGGCTCCGGGGTTTTTTCGGCGACCTTCAACCATTCCTGAGCTTTGTCGAGTTTCTCCTTTTCCTTCAGAAGATGCATTCTCCTCAACTGTCTTTCTCGGTCCTCGGCCATTAATTCCGTGCAGCGCTCGGAAGCTAGGTTTCTCTTCGTTAGCGGTGGAATTATCACATTTGGTAGACCCGTTCATACCATTCTCATTCAGAATTCCGAGCTTCTGCTCGATCTCCCCTCTCAACTCATCCCTACAACGCATGAAGAGCTTAATATGGATACCCTGGCACGTAGTGTCCACAAAGCGAGACGATGCAATATCGTAATAAGCGCGAGATGCCTGTTGTGTTTAGGTTATTGAGGTCAATCCCTATACTGAGAAGAGAGCATAATGGGTTAATATCCTTACACTCATTATTTCCAACTCCTTTGCAAATTCGTCAGGACCGAGTTCCTTTTCTGTTACCTTGCTTGGGTCTGTTCGCGAGGATCTACCAGTGGTTTGCTGCTGCTGTGCGTCAATGAGCTTGGTATACTGTGAGACCCTTGCTTCATATCGTTTATGGAAGAAGTATCCATAGGCCTCCTCTTGACCACGTCGGAATAAATCATTCGCCATTGTAAAAGGCTTCAAACATTCAATGTTGAAAACCGATTCCGCCTGCTGAAAATGTTCGATGCGGATGGATTCGAGGAATCCCATAATGATGACCTTCAGCTCCTCAAACAGGGCAGTTTGCTCATACTGGCCAAAAACATAGCGCATCTCATTCAAGAGTACCCCAGCCATCAATCTGTATGTAACCAGAAGGAACGTTTTCATCGGTTCCTCCCAGTGAGAAACACTTATTCTGTTTAGTGCCTCAACAGCATGGGGGTTCCCTAAGCCAGGAACACCGGACGCATACGTGTCAGCATTGATGTTTCGGACCTCGGGGAGCGTAAAGGATCTTGCGGGCTCTTTCAACGTCACTGCTTAGCAATTTGTGATTACCGACCGACATTTTTATCAACTTACTAGGGAAGTGGTCAAAATGACCATGAACTTTGAATTCCGACACATCAGGTGTTGAACCATTGGCAAGATCTCCAACTTTCATTTTCTTAAGGTCACCTGTACCGTTTGTTTGAGGGGTATTTTTCCGCTTCTGGGCCTTTGAGCTTGAAGCAGAGGCATCCCCCTTGCTTTCAGGGATAAATTCGGATGGGGTATTCAGTTTCAGCCCTGGTCTGGAGGCAGTGAGGTACTGCTGGAATTCAGAGGCGATGATACCCCATTGCTTCAGGAAAGGGTACTGGGCTGAACCTCCATCGACATGCATTTGAACATTATTCATGGAAGAATTAAGCTTTTGGCATAATATGTACGATACGTTCGCTGACGGCGGATTGGGCAACTTAGCAAGTGCCTGATCGACATATTGAGCTTGAATGTTGATCTGGTTGATTATTCTGGGCAAAGAGTCCTGGATTAATCTCAGGAGTAACTTTGATAAAGCCGTCTGTAGACGGCGAGTACCAAATCTGTCATTGTATTCAGCCAATTCTGTCGTCCATGGGGGGTTGGAGAAGAAGTAGCCTTCATCTGCACGAGCTGTGGCATGATCAATCCTCGGATCGGGGTTATTTTGAACCACAAAGTAGCCATGGCCAGTTGCAAACTTTTCACCACGCAGTATCTCGCGCCACTGGTCGTACTCATTTCCAGTCTTGAGCTCAACACGATCAGGTTTGGTGAGAACTCCAACCGTACGGTCTCTGGCCCCTGGGATATCGCGGATGATACGGGCAGCGCTAGAATTGGTAGCATCATCAGTCATCGGAAGAGCTAGAAGGATAATGCAATTTTGTGCTTTGATGTATTCCTTCACGAGATTCTCTACCAGCCCAACTAGGTAACGTTCTTCATCGAGTTCGGCAACATTGATCACTCCAGGCAAATCGTAGAAGGAAAGATTGGGAAATCCTGGTGCAGAGATGTCAAGCCGGACTACATTTGGAGAGAACTTGACCTGACTGTAAGTGCTATCAGTCTCCTGATCTTCTCCAGGAATAAAGTCGGTGTGGCTGCGCCCCGGGTTAAGTGTGGCCAGCTGAGCCCATTTAAGGTGCTTCTGGAGCAGAGTCTTGTCGGTCAGAGTCGCGAAATAAAGCTCTTCCGGGTCTTGTTCAATCCAAGGACCCAATGGCCTAGCGTTTGTAGCTCTTTGAGTTCTTCCAGCCGCATCGTACATGTACTTCTTCATCAGAAGAAGCCGGCACGTCCAAGGCCCGTCACTCTCGGACAAGTTTATTTCAAGCGGGCATCGCGTACAGCATCCTGCACTCCTTGGGACTTTGATTTCACTCATGCCCTCAATGAGCGAACTTTTCCCAACGCTTTGATCGCCAACGACTACAATCTTTGGTAAGGGTAGGGTATGGTTTTCGATCCCTAAATGTCTGAGGTCTTGGATCTTCTTGACCATTTCTCTCATATTCTGAGAGAGAAAGTCAATAGATGCATTTTTTTCTTCAATTCCCACGGTGCCTGTAATATCAATCGTAATCATTAGCCCAACACAGGAATAACGGCAAATATCAAAGACAAAACCTTACTGGGAGACGAGTGTATTTCGGCTGCCATCTTCAACACACTCCGGGTTGGCCTGTATATGCGCCCGGCAAATGATGAGCATGCAAGGGTTTCAGGGCAGATGAAATAGAACTCGATTGCTATGGTTACTGGAAGGCTGCAAGTAACTGTGGCCACAAAACCAAATTCCAAGTGTGTATGTGTGGGAGAAAAGAGATGGAAAGAAAGTAAAGTTGGAAGAAGAGGCACTGTTTTAATAACAAAACAGCAGGGGCAGGGAGACGGAATTATGTAAGGCAAGAGTTGGTATAAGTGTTCCTGGAAGATAGCTTTACAAAGAAATAGAAGCAGTCTGCTGCTTCAGTCAACAGGACAGATCAGCAACACAAAAAAGGCAAAGAAAGCTCCAGCAGCAGCCACCCTGCTGCTGGCTTCCTGCCATAGGGCAAACATTCTGCATTCCATGTGTCCATGCTTTATGTGCCAAAGAGTAATTAAAAGGGCATATGTTAAAAATTCAATGATTCTTTATGGCGTAAGATGTCCGCAATGAATAACTACCACCTAGTTAAGAGAGCTTGACTAGGTAATCAGGCTGTTACCAATGAATCATCTCATCCTTGGTATAACTAAACAGCGACTGGCAAGAGAGAGTAACTAATTGACCATATACAAGCACATACAAGGCGCTGTTGGTGTGTTGGGAGGCTCAATGCCATCCAGCGACGTCGTTCTTCCATCTTATCTGCATCTTATCTCCTTTTTTATGCTCTAACCTTAAAGCGACGTCAAAGGAAAAAGGACCACGTGGTGTCACGGGAGCCGGTGGTTCACCGCCCAGGGCAGAAAGCCGAAAGAGGAATAGCTCCCTCCTGGGCTGGCGCTTCGACCTCTTCTCGACGTGTTTGTGTCTTTTGGTGGTAGATTTGGGATCCGAAAGTCGAACTGTTTGCTTGACCTAGCTGCCGCAAATAGAGATATAGAGTGAGGAGGAGAGAGTACATTGAGTCTGTTCAGTGATATTCTAGAGGAATGCTAGCAGTGCCTTCTGCATCTTCAAACATGGCGTCTACAAAGGCCGTTATCTTGGTAATTACCTGCCCGCGTCCTTACTATAACAAACCCCCTCCTCCCCCTTTCATATTCATTCTTATAGATCATAGCTAACACTTTTATGTGACGTTACTTACAGGTTGGTGGACCATCTAGAGGAACTAGATTCAGGCCTCTTTCACTGGATATGCCCAAAGTGCGTTCTCTCAGCTGCCCGCCAGGCTTAGTTTGTTCCAGCAGCTGTTGAGACGCTAACAACTGTGTAGCCCCTTTTTGAAGTTGCCGGTCACCCTATCATACTACACTGCCTGAAGGCTGTTGCCAAAGTCCCTGGCATCCGCGAAGTCATTCTCGTCGGATACTACGATGAGACCGTGTTCCGAGACTTCATCAAGTCAGCCAGTGTAGAGTTCCCCCAATTCCGCATCCAATACCTCCGCGAATACCAGGCCCTTGGCACTGCTGGAGGTCTCTACCACTTCCGAGATGCCATTCTCAAGGGTCGCCCTGAGCGTTTCTTCGTCCTTAACGCCGATGTCTGCTGCTCCTTCCCACTGGGTGAGATGCTCAAGCTCTTCGAAGAGAAGGATGCAGAGGCTGTCATCCTTGGTACCCGCGTCAGCGACGACGCTGCCACCAATTTCGGCTGCATTGTCTCCGACACCCACACGAAGAGAGTCCTTCACTACGTCGAGAAGCCAGAGTCACACATTTCGAACCTGATAAACTGCGGTGTCTACCTCTTTGCTACCGAGTGCATCTTCCCTTCCATCCGCAGTGCTATCAAACGCCGCACCGCCCGCCCTCGTCTACTCTCATATCCATCATCTGAAAATCTCGAATCTTCTTATGTAGCCCAGGACGATTCCGCCGAAATGCCGGAGGTCCTACGTCTCGAGCAGGATATCCTTCCTGACCTCGCAGACAGCAACCGTTTCTTTGTCCATGAAACCAAGGACTTCTGGCGCCAGATCAAGACCGCAGGCTCCGCTGTTCCAGCTAATGCTCTCTACCTCCAAAAGGCCTTCCAGTCTGGCTCTGAAGAGCTCGCTGCCCCCTCCGCATCCATTGTTCCACCAGTTTACATTCACCCCTCCGCCACTGTCGATCCTACCGCCAAGCTTGGACCAAATGTCTCCATCGGTGCACGAGCCGTTGTTGGCCCAGGCGTCCGTATCAAGGAGTCCATTGTCCTTGAAGACGCTGAGATCAAGCACGATGCATGTATTTTGTACTCCATCATTGGTTGGAGTAGCCGCGTCGGTGCATGGGCTCGAGTCGAAGGCACCCCCACCCCAGCTGGTAGTCACTCTACGACCATCATCAAAAACGGTGTCAAGGTCCAAAACATCACTATCCTTGGCAAGGAGTGTGGTGTTGGCGATGAAGTTCGTGTTCAGAACTGTGTTTGCTTGCCGTTCAAAGAGCTCAAACGGGTATGTTTCTCAGCCTCCTTCGTTGAATTGCCTCCGTCTAACTTTCTCCGCAGGATGTTGCAAATGAAGTCATCATGTAGACTTCTCATAAGTACATCATGTCTTATGTCCTTTTTCTCCTGTTGAAAATCTTCTTAAAATAGTGACGAAAAAAAGAATGTCGAATGTGTGATTCCACTAACGACCTGGCTCGGTTTTTGAAGTGTTAGCTTTTCTGTCTTACGTCCGCTATGCGATGCTGAATAAATGATATACCACGAAATCGAAGTATTATCTGTGATCCCATATAACTTTACATAACATTGGATTTGTTGATCGTAACACATGCCACGCCAATTCTCTAATTGCCATTGGGCTAGTACTGAAACATCAACTGTCATGACCTATCTTTCTCAAGAGCTGTTACATAGGAGCTGTTTTTTAGGCTCTTATCTGCAATGAATATATACTTTCAAGATAGCGCAGTGGTGAGTCGAGCGCCTGAGTCAATATGCCATGATTGGCACAAGATGATTCAGGTATGACAGGATATTCGGCTAGTAGATACGTGGACGCTTTAACTAGGGCGTTTTTAAAGTTGTAATTGTTCTCGAAGGCAATAAGTTATCATTATTGGCTCATAACTGCTAGACTAAAGCTACGTAAAGGGTGTGGTGCCTGGAAAGTGAAGTATGTATGCAACGTAAACGGTCATTTAAAATCTTCATTGAATAGATAAACCTATTAGCAGCGGTTCCAGTATCAATTTCCCAATCCAGTCATTATGTTCATTCTTGATAGAGGTTAGCCTATGGTACCCAAACAGTAAGTGAGCTAAATTTAACACATACAGATTCAAGAACTTATTTTGGCGGCTGAGCGCAGAGAGTGAGGGTGATATCGGCATCTCTTTGGCAGGCAGAAGTAAACTTCTGGCCAGTTGGTGGGACACCGTTAGGCACCAGATGTCAGGGCAGTCGGGGTTGGAAGTAGAAACCAGCAAGCCGCTGGTTCCAGCAAAGGCGTCACCGAAGACATCGGAGAGATCATAAAATGTGTTTGTGTCCGTCAGGGTGTAGGCAAAGATGGTTTGGGGAGAACCGTTGTAGATGCCATCCTTAACGCGAGTGATCTTGAGAGCGATACCTCCGCTAACTGGGTCGTATCTGAATTGTTCAGAATATGTGTGTCCGGGAGTGATGGTCTGCTGGGGACCAACGGAGCCACCAACGGACCAGAGGTATGCGTTGTTATCACAGTGGTTCTCGACGATGGCGTGTCCAACAGCAGCAGTGAATGGGGTAATGGCCGCGATGGCAGTGAGAGCAATGGCTTTGAACTGCATTTTGAAGGAGATGTTTGGTAAAGGCTTGGAGAAAGATGCTATGGTTGCTTGGATGTGAGAAGTAGGAGCTGATGATGGAGATAATGGGCTGATCATAGGGAATTGGACAGCGTATTTATACCTTTAGTGAGCAATTCCATGGGAAGAGTGTATGGCAATTGATGTCTTAGAATGCTTCTGGACTCCTCGACAATCCATGAGCTATACGAACTTGAGGCACGAGGGCCACTGCCACAGATCCACTGGTACCATTGGCTTAAAGCAGCCCTCATCTGAATCATGATAAGCCTAATATCTATGTTAACCTTTACTCTAGCCCAGTGAGTCTCTTTCTTTTGACTCTCAAGATATGAAAGAGGGGGTATAATTCCATTGCATAGCCGACTGGCAGGCAACTCCATGCTTCCGACCAATAGACAGGGATCAAATCATGATTGTGCCAGAGAAGACATTCATAATGGTAACAGAAGCACATATTACTCCATGGTTAAGCAATATGTCTGAGTGAGTTTATTATCAGCATACCGATGCGCCTTGCACTCCACGAATGTCCAGGAATAGGATTGGAGCTGAATATCAACCGTTGGAGGGGTTTCAGATCCAAGGTACGCTTAGTGGCTGGAAGAGCATCTGCTTAAACGGGGCCGAGCGAAGCAGGTAACCAAGGTGACATTCATTCAATACTACCTCGTTCTTCGCAGCATGCATAACTTCTGGCAGTATGTCTCGTCTTGCCTTTCCGCCAACGGATATATTTGTTTTGTAAAGAAACATGCAAAACTCCACTCTACATGTCCATAGTGGTACGTTGTTCAGAGCACCTGTTGGACAACTGTCTCCGAAATCCAGTAACCAAAATGCAACCAACAGACAATGGAGTCCATATCTAAGGTAACCAGTGAAAGCAGTTCAGGCCAGCGTTGCGGCGTAGCGATCTGATATCCACTAGTGAACCAGCCGGTGGAGCCCGTTGTAAGACATCACAGGAGAGGAAGAAGAATACGGCCAGGTGTAATATGTGTCTGGACTTTGTCTGCGGCAAAGTCGGATGGAAGTCGATGTTGGCTTTTTGCTGGGATGTCGATCATCCATCGCGGGCCCAAAGGCAACCACCGCAAAGCAGGTTGACAAGCAAACGAAGCCAGCACTTACAGCCGGGAACTGGGGGGAAAAATGTCTTAAAATACGAAATCCTTGAACAATCGGCATAGTTAGTTAATCATCGTAGCATTCCTGCATCGCTAGTCAAAACTTTGGCGTTTCGCCCACCAGCAGGGAGAAACCATGGAACTCTGCCAGGCCCTGAAGACTAGCTAGTTAAGGTAGCTCGGGCGGTTTCTAATATTAGCTGGCCTCGGCGATCCATCGTGGGGATTTTCGGTCCATCCCATCGTTAGGAGCTTCCCCGGGTTTCCTTGAGGTTGATATGAAGAAGGCTTGTCTCTGAGATGGAAATCGATCTGACCGGCAGAAGCGAGCTTGCAGAGGCCGGGTCTCTCAGGTGGCCAGGGGCAGGGCCTTGGTGCCTTGTCAGTTGGGAGCCAAATCCCGTCCCCGATGCAGAGTTATCTAAATAGCTTCTTACCAGGATGCAGAATGAGAGCAGTGATGTCTCTTTTCGTCTCTTCCTTCTCCATATTTTTCCTACGTCCGCCTGTCCGCCTGTCCGTCCGCCATGCGACTGGCATGGATGTTGGTTGGCGGCTTCGCTTTAGCCCCGTTGTCGCTTCGTATTTGAGGGGATGACGTCAGAGCGCAGCTCGAGGTTGAGGCTCAGCCTCGTCTCTCTCCATCTCTTTTTCTCCTGCAGAGCTAGCAGTTGAAGGCTTCAAGCCGGCAGATGGAGCGCAATTGTCAATGAACGGTTTACCGTGAGATACGTGCAAATGGCGGATGCTGGTCACCCATACCCCTCCAAGTCCGAGATGTCTTCCTCTTCGCCACCTGCCTACGAGGATGTAGCAGGCGAGGGCTCTCAGTCCTCAGCCCCAAGGCCGCAACAGAGATCCAGCGGTGCAGTGACACTGACTATACATGGCAAGGAAATATATTCTTCTGCCAGTCAGGGTGGCCAACCAGTCTACAGCTTAACTCATGCTCTGGATGGCCACGAGTTGAATCAGTACGGAGTTTTGTTGACACGTATTGAAGATCGGACGGTCTCGTCTACTTCTTCTCGAGGCACGCCAACTACCAAGGTTGTCAAGCGTGATGTTTTTGCTCTTCGTGATGCGCCAGTCCTTCACATAGGGCATGCTCGTTACGAAATTGATGGTCGACGGTACTTGTCAGATAAAAGGGGTCGCATGAGCAGGTCATCCTTTGGCGTCGGATCAGGTTGGACCGCCTGGGGTAAAGGACTGCCGTCATTCTACCTCCAGAGATCAGAGAGTGGTAATGCTGCTCAAGTTGGTGAGACTACCGACTCATCCTTTTATGAATGGCGTGAAAAGGAGAATGGCCCCTTGATAGCCATGGAGACACGGAGGCGTTGGGATATGGTGAATAAAGTGGAGATATCGGCCCCTCGGCTAGAATTGATGAAAAGTTGGGATGATTTCGACAGGGAATACTTGGATTTTATGATTGCCGCATGGTGCATGCACAACTGGAGAGAGGCCAAAGATATCATCAAGGAACCCATCACATGGGATGAGTGTGAGTTGTGTTGACATTACCAACAGTGGTATGGATTCTTCTGTGCTAACCCGTATAATAGTCAAAGAGCAAGCCCGAGTCACTGCTTCAAAGCGAAAACAGGTCTTGACTGGTGGAGGTCGCTCGACTGCCTTTGGACTTGCTGGATTTGCAACATAATATGTGGCATCCCAACTGTTGTCCCACAATTGTCTTTATATTAAGTATGTAGCTCAATGCTTCAACTCTTACTAGATACCCATGCATCCTGTCGTGCTGCTCTGGTTTGAAACTAGAGCCTCCGGGGCGGAAAGCTTCAATCTTTGTACATATTTATCGCACAACTATTGTGCTGCGCCTGCTTATCTTTCGATTGATCAATATAGTGATTTGGGTTAATGGTCAACAATTATATTATTAAGTGGAGGTTTTCATAGAACCTCACCTGAGTGAAGAAGATGTTTCCAGAGTATGCGCCGTGCTGATAAAAAAGAAGGCTAAAATGAAAATGATTAAAATATGAGCCAAGAGGGTGAGATCACACTAGTGGTCAACATGCACAAAGCTAGGTCTTTGATAGCTTCTTCCTCGGAATTCAAAAATTTCCTGCGGAGAGAAATCGATTCTTGCAGTTGTGGATGTCCAGGTTGTGATATCATGCTGCTCGCTTGTTGAAGTTGGAAACGAGAGGAACGCGCGGTATAACCGGGTTATTCTTTTCAAGCCCTTCAGTTTTACCTTAACTAGTTAAGGAGAATAAGAGGGCCTAGATATTCTCGGAAGTCATGAATAATAAGGCTGAGCGACTTGAGCAAACGTCCACCTTAGACACCCCTCAATTAGGACGTCATGTAAGGGAGGTACCCCGAGATTAGATTAGATTAGATCGTGATTGGAAGTGCCTCGGTAGCTCGGGCGGCCCCACTCAGATGCCCCCGCCCGCCGCACTGTTGCTGGATTAATTATATTCCGTATTACTAATCAACAGTAACGCCGCCGGGCTGGCTGCCCCCCCAGAGGTGCCCACGACCTTCACTTCCTAGGTACCTAATTACAAATCAACCCATGGCTTCGGCTTCGCTCTGAAGCAAAATGGGACACGACGACAATGTTTCAAATACTTCAACATAATATGCCGAATCCTCTCTCCTGGTAGGCATGCTTAGTGAAGCTCGTAGATGAAATCAGGGCGAGCACGATATCCAAACACCACTGCGCTGACCGCTCCCTATATATACCCCCCTGGATACACTGCCACGACGTTAATCTAACGATCAAAGTAGCATATTATCCACAGCTTTTCCGGATATACAAGCTCGTTCCTAATATTTACATCATGGCTTTTGTACTAGCCGGAGAGGTGCAGTGGCATGAAGGAGAGAAGAAGATGCATGAACTGATGCACGTTCCGTACGAGGAGAACCCAACAGCAGCTTTCTTGAGCCCTGGAGCAGCTGCACTAGTCCAAAAATGCCCTCTGCTTGCAGTGGGGACACTGGATAAACAAGGCCGTCCATGGAGTACAGTATGGGGTGGCCAGGCTGGATTCGTTGGTCCAGTTGCTCAATCCATCATCGGAATAAGAAATGTTATCGACGGAACCCATGATCCTGTCGCAGAAACACTACTTGGCGGCGAATTGGCTGGCACCATTGTCAAGGAACCCCCGCCAGGAAGATTGATGTCCGCATTGCCTATTGACATGGAGAATAGGAGACGTGTTAAGTTGATGGGACGGATGGTGGCAGGCTCTATGGAAGAAGAATCCCAAGAAGGCCCTGGAAACAGTAGCATAAACGATACCACCCTAGGGAAGTCTGCCCAAGTACAGTTAGTTATGAAAGTTGAAGGAAGCTTAGGTGAGATAACTATTTCATCTCTAGCCCCATATATCCCATGCCCGAAATCTACTGACCTTCGCCTAGGAAATTGTCCCAAATATATTAATAAGAAACGTATCACACAAGCACTACCACATCCCAAACTAATATCAAATTCGCCTCATCTCCCCCAGGAGGCTCTTGATCTTCTTGGTCGAATAGATACCCTTTTTGTAGCCAGTTCCCATGGAAATGACTCTATGGACTCCAATATCCGTGGAGGCCCACCAGGCTTTGTTCGGGTGCTCTCCAATGATAGCACGGGCGCCGTCATAGTATACCCAGAATATTCAGGGAATCGTTTATACCAGACTCTAGGCAACCTCCAAACAACACCCCTTGCAGGTTATGCGTTTCCGGATTTTGAATTAGGACACATTCTATATATCACGGGAAAAACGGAGGTTCTGGTAGGAAAAGATGCAGCGAAGATACTTCCCAGATCAAACCTTGCCGTCAGAGTTAGTGTCACTGCTGCCAGATACGTAGAAAATGGCCTTTCATTTCGTGGGGAGGCAATGCAGCGGTCCCCTTATAATCCAGAAGTGCGGTATCTAGCTTCTGAGAAGCCAGCTCCCGGCAGCCAACTCCCCGATAATGAGGAGATGCGAGTCATCTTGGTTAAAAAGGATGTGATCACCCCTACAATTAATCGATTCAAATTCAAGGCATCTGACCCGTCCGCTGTTCTCAAATGGATACCAGGGCAGTATGCTACTGTTTCGTTCCGAGACGAACTAGACATGGGATACAGCCACATGAGAGATGACGACCCCACAAGTATCAATGATGACTATATTCGCACTTTCACAGTGTCATCACATCCTGGGCGCAATCTTGCCAAAAACGAATTTGAGATCACCGTCAGGAGAAAGGGAAGTGCCACTAGCCACCTATTCAGAGCCAGCGAAAGAAGTGGGTTGGAGCTATCGCTTCGTGGGTTTGATGGGAGTTTTCGATTCGAGTGCTCTGGATCAAACCGGAGCGTTGATCATGAAAGTTGCCCTCTTCCCTTCATTGCCGGTGGGATAGGAATCACACCCCTCCTAGCGCAGCTCCCGGATATTGATATGTCCCGACTAAAGCTTTTATGGTCGGTGTCAATGAAAGATGTTGGACTTGTACATGACGTTTTTGAACAATACTCTAACCTTCCAAACGCCACTACCGTGTTTCTTACTTCCGGCTCCCCCGCTATTGAAAATGATATGAATGAAGATGATAAGAAGACGCTTATCTCGGTGACCTCTTCAGGGGCGAAAATAGAGCGACGCCGCTTGATAAAGGAAGATCTTTCTGCTGTGCCTGATGCAGGCGTCTGGTATATCTGTGCTGGCACCGAGCTAAAGACGGCTGCTACTAACTGGCTAACAGGGAAGAAGCTTATCTATGAGGACTTCAACTATTAAAATCCAGATTATGTTGCAGATATGGCAGTCACGAAATTCATTATACAAAATTGAACTTGAGATATTCCATCATGTCTGCACCCTTAAGTCCAGCTATTTATATCTTAGAGCCATCACTTGCAAGTACATAACTAATAACTAATTACATCCAAATACTAAACCTCCTAACACTAACTAACGTATTAAAGATGCAGATAGTGTTGACTTGATCTTCTTTTCTTCCCGCCATATCCATATTCACTGTAGACATACCGAGCGCTTTGGCAGTTTCCCTTAGCTATTGGTTAACAAATAGTTAACTATCCGCTTAACTAGTTAGTTAGTTAACTAGCGCCGCTCGATGACGCCAAAAGCGCTGCCTGGCGGGCCAGGGTCTCCGATAAATTTCAAACATCGTCCACTCCCGCAAGCTCGGCGCAACACTACAACCAACTGCTTACAGAGCTCGATCAATAGTTAACCAGAGGAGCCATACCGCCCTACCCCCTTCGCTATACATACGTCTGCTCTCTGGTCTCTACTTACAATGGCTTCCTACGAAGGTATGTCTGGATAGAGCGCTCGCGGGGTGGATACTTCATCCTCCCGAGCTTGCCTGAACCTCTCTCAGAGCTTAATATACGATTGCTCACTCAGTGGAAACTAATAATTGTCATAGTCGAGCACCCCACAACTGGCGATAATAGCTCCTCTACCAATAACTCCCGGCTAACCAGCTCTCGTCGCTCGGCTCGTCCTGACCTGTCTACATTCTTCGCCACACTCAATGAAATCAGTCCTAACCAAGGCAGTGAAAGGACACGACCCTATGCAGTGCCGGTACCAGGCGATGTGAGCGCTGCATTTAGGTCTCTTGCAGAGGCATTCGATGTTATGAGACGCAGCGGGGATAATGCGCCGCTACCAGTTTATGACGGGCGAGACCCTGAAATGCCCGACGCTGGGCAAGGACAATTGATAGAAGAGATGATTCGGGCCCTGCTGCAGGACGCAGAAGCTCCTCCGCGAGAAGTAGAAGGTGTATCAGAGGAGTTTTGCGATAGTACGTGTGACCCTTTTGCCCGATTGTGAATAGCTACTCACCATCTGCTCTTCATAGTGCTTGACCGTGTTCCCAAGACGAGGCTAAAGGAGTCCCAAATATGTCCAATATGCAATAACCCATTTTTAGAAGATTCGCATCCTTTAGTTGTCAGGCTCCCCTGTCATACATCGCATATTTTTGACTTGGAATGTGTACGCCCTTGGCTCCGACTTAGAGGAACATGCCCTCTTGACAGGACAGATTTTGGAAAGAAGGAGCGCCAAAAGGAACAAGAGAGGTTGGAAAGGCTCATGAAAAAGTCTGGCGGGATTGATGATGATGACGAGGAGGGGGAGTGGGATGGAATGTATGCATAAGGGCTTGGATTTACTAGGCAAAGGGAGGATTATTACACTCAACATTTGATCGATATGATACCTTTTAGTCTCCTTTCCAGGGGCACATTTTGTTTACACCTCTTTGCATTTCCCTTTGACTTACCCACCCATACATACCCTCTCTTCCAGAAAATGCTGCTCCTTAGATACTCCTATGATATCAACGGTGTACGGGACGCTTCTACCTATTCGTTCTAGCCCGACTCTGGCTTTCAAATACACTTCTTTGAACGAAATTGAGAGGCCGTGGCTAGATTGTGATTGCATACTAGCTAGAGCCTCACTCTATGGCTTTTCATACCCGTTTCATTTTATACCCCCATTCTGGTTAATTAACGGAATTCTCCTGCCTGCCCACATAAGCGCGACAGTTTCCTCGCCGCAGTAAATACTGCTATGCAATCCACCTAGCCAGCCCCCTGACAGACAATTGAAAGCTCAGGAGTCGATAGATACGTGGATCACCCAGTAAAATGTCCTACAGCAATCTTGAAGACCTCGATCCAGAAACTGCAAGATTAATTATTCAGCTTCAACTTGACGACTTACAAGAAATCAAGGGCCAGTCAAAAGGCAAAGCTCGCGAAGAAGAATTAGCTGACCCCGATTTAATGGATCATTAGAGCTTCATGGCGATGAGCTCACTAAATCAGCAAATATATCCAGAGACACCTCGATAACAAGGAGTATTGCAACTGCGATTTACAGTAACCAAGAAGCCCTACGTGAATTTCTCAAATCCGAGAGTCGAGCATACCAGGACCGCCAGCTAGCGTGCCATCTGGGCGAAACGAATATCCTCTCCAAAGAGCTTACAGCTTTGAAAAACCCGCCCTGGAAAGGCCTCCCCGCCAGTGACGTGTGAATCCTCGCCTTCACAACCTACCAGATATCAAACAACCGGGCGTCGAAACACTTGGATGTGGAATATGCTCCAAAATTATCCATATCTTTGAATCTGCGCGTCTTCCCTGCAGCCATTTATGCTGCCCTAAATGTCTCCAAAAATTATTCCAGGAATCCTTATTTGGCGACGCACAGTTCCCGCCCCAATGCTGTGACGAACCCATCATATTCGAGCATGTTGCAAGATTCCTAACGCCTGGCCTGATTAAATCTTTTCTAGCCCAAAAGGCTCAATTCGAAGCAGATGATAGGACCTGCTGCTCCTCCCTTTTTTGCTCCAGAGTTATACCTCCTAAAAACATTAAAGGCAGGATTGCGGATTGCTTCATGTCCGTAGTTACTGCAATACAATCACCTGTACAGTTTGCAAATCTTATTCTCACAAAGGAGACTGCCCGGAAAATACCACAATACTCCAGGCTCTAAACCTGAGTACAAAGATTACACGCCTGCAATGCTAACTCTGTAGCAATATAGTTGAGTTGACCCCTGGGAAGAATCATATAACGCGAGAACCCCCACTATCCCTATTCCGTTTTCCCTCGCTAATAGAATGTTTTTCTTTTTTTGTCCTCAACTGTCCCTACACTGCCTAGTCTTTGCAATATTATGATGTCAAATGAGAGAGTTATCTGTCCCTTTGAATACTGAAACGAAAACTAGCTTATATGAGGGAAAATTGACTTGGCTGCCAACCAATTTTGATAAGTACAGTCACTTGAGAAATGACGGTAACGAAACGAACCGATAAGTCTCCTATCCATGATAATAAGTGATGAAGGCATACACTGGAAACAACCCCCCATGCATCAACAGATGCGATTGATATTGGCCAATTGCCTATGACACTTGTTTAAAGTGTTAAAAAAAAATTATTACACTTGCACCTGATTGGATTCTATTCTAGCCAGGTAACCCTTCTCGAGCGAATTCAATTTCTAGGCGCTGTCCCGCATATTCAAATAAACCCGTGGAGGGTCTGGTTTGATTAGAATGATGATGACCACAATGTAAAGCAAGGTTTGTTTCGGAGGTCTGGAACCTGGTCAACGGAAAAATATCCAGCTCCTCCAATTCTAGCTACCCTGTGGTGGAGGCGGAGGGCCATTGACCTCTTTTGTACGAAGCGAAAGTTTTCCTGTCTGGCCCAAAACTGCTTCATACCCGCTCTTCTCTAGTATCTTGGAATCATCCTGAACCACCTCTCGGGCCTCTAGCTGCTCCACTAGCTTTTGATTTTCCCGGTTTCCTTCAAGCAAAAACTTCAAACACATGACAGCATGTTCTTTGATGTATGGATTATGAGCATCGAAGGCAGTACAGGATAGGATAGTCTCAATCCCACTATATTTTCGAATTTGATTCTGGACCTGAGGACATTTCCAAACCAGAGAGGAGAGCACCAATATAACCAGTTTCTTTAGGTTACGCCATTCAAATTCAGCTGGGTCTTCGTTGCCAATTGGTGGCGAAGGTACCCTAGACTCTGGGCCAACGGTGACATTATCGACCGGCTCGGAATCATTTGGATCATATGGCCGTTCAACTGCTACCGGGGCAACGACTGCACCGTCACTTTCGGAGGGAGAAGCCTCGCTGGACTGGTTTTGCTGGGGAGTCCTTGGAGCTGCCGCCGCGACTGCTTGGGTCAGTGAACTGAGAGATCCCTTAGGAATGCTAGCTTCCAACTCTTTGATCAAAGTCACCAAATCGTATACAATCTCCCACTGGACGAGGAGGTTCTTCCATTCGGTATTTTCCGTCAGAACCGCAAAGAATTCAAGAAATTGGTAAACTCCTTCATACACTCGCTCCATGTCCCACAAATTTAGTGGGAAATCTTCAGGAAGGGCATGTCCAGCTCGAATTTGTCCCTGAAGATAGATCAAAGCGCATGTCTCCGGAATTATATTTCCACGGAAGATAGTGAAAATATAGCGCACCGTCAGAACATCAACTTTAGTGACAGTAATAGAACTTCTCCCGGTTGGGCTTTCCGCCGTAGATGCAATGTTTGGCGGTGAGTATTTCGACCGGAAAATGTGGGTGAGAATTTTTATCACGACAGCTTGCGCAGGGGATATAATATCCTTGGCCTGTCCGAAATCAGAATAGGCGTGGGACATGAGTCCATTGTTCAGGACGGCTTCCATAATCTGAACCATCATTTTGAAGTAAAGCTCGTCGTCGGGGAGATCCCATGCAGCAATAAATATTAGGAGCTCTCTAAGCAGATTCCGCCCAGTTTCTTGGGCAAGCAAAATATGACAACGAACAGCTTGCATGTTTTTAGATCCCGTTTTAGGACCACCTTTGGGTCCAAAACTGTCCACAATTCCAGCCTGGATTAACATTGGTAGAGCTTCAATTTCAGCAGGCCCTAACACCAAGGGAATATCGGTCAATAGGCCGCGCTGCTGGTCTCCTGGGCGTCCCCTATAATCATCATCGTCGTCCTCCTCGTCTTCTTCTTCCTCAACGCTACCATCCGCTACTGCTTCCAAGCTTCGTGAATCATCATCAGCAACACCAGTACGCTCCATACCATCATAGTGATGCTCGCCCTCTGTAAGGACAGGTGAGGTTTCTTGTAAGCGCGTCATTAGTTCATCTTTAGCTTCTTGGAGAGTTTCAGCTGCAGACTGTGCTGAACGCGTCATAATTCGGTCCTCCGGGGTTACTGGAGCATCAACTGCAGATATAACACCATATTCATCAAGATTCGGGAAATCTGTCCAGCATGTGCGTGGGAAGCCTGCCGTAGCGCTTCTGTCGATGCTTAAAATAGGCTTTTTGCGCGTAGGCTCTTCCTCAACTCGAGATGGACCTGCTTGACGGTCGTTCAAGTCCGCCCAGCCGTCCACTTTTGCGCCTAGGATGGCAGTGAGAGCCGCCCGAATTTCCTTGACACGCTCGGGGTCTTTACCCATCTGCTGGATCTCCTTCAAATTTCGACCAAGGAGCTTTTCCATATGGTCCTTGATATTAGCTAATAGTAGCATAGCAGCCTCTTCTTTTATGGTGGCAGGCTCCCTTGGGAAAGATGAAATAGTCTCTAATAATAAGTCCTCGGCAGTTTGGTCATAAAGTGTCCTAAGCGGCGGATTAACAAGTCGCTCCCCGGCTCTAACAATCGGGGCAAGTCCTTGAGCAGCATTGTTTGATTGATCCAGAGGTTCCATATGGGTAATAATGCTAGATTCACCATTTTGGTGGTAGCCGAACAGATCCAGCCAGAGAACGAGCTTTCGGTGTTCATTGTGCATGATGAAATTATGGAGAAACTGAAGGCACGTAATCAATAGCCGTTTATAGAGGCTGACAACCTTTTGCCATCTCTCTTCATTTCTCGCGTTGCTTTCTCCGTCATATCCTCTGGCAGTCACTCTAACGCAAGTATCAATCAGCATCAAAATCTTCTGATCAAATCCCTTTTCTGCAGCTATATTTTGCGCCTTTTTGGTTGTTGCAAGTAGGTTCCGAGCAATTGTACAGAGGTCATTCAATCGTTCAATGTCCTTTACGAGGGGAAAGTAGTTATACGCAATCAGGTTTGATGAGGAGCCGTCATAGTTTGCAGATGTCGGATTCTTCCACGCAAAAGATTGCGATTCCAATACCGGGATAGCTTTGGTGAGCACATCAGTAAGCCCCTGCCATATCGCAGGTGAGAATCCTAGATTTTGTCTGCAAAGCAGGTAAAAATTAGCTCAGAATTTATACTCGTGGGGTAACGATTTTCTTTCTCCCTCTCTCCTCTCAAGAAGACGAGATTTAACAGAAAACGGTGTGCCAACAACTATGGGGGAAACATATCCTACCTTACGTCACTTTCCTGGTGGCTTTTGTACAGTATTTGCTTGCCCGCAAGTAGCATGTGTTCCAGTCTCTTATCATCAATCATCCCACGAGTTTCGTAATGGCTCAAAGTTCCAATTAATACCACCTTCAGCAGAAGCTCTGGAGCGGTACATTTTGGATTACTTTGCGTTCCACCGTCTTCTGTGGTTTCTTGCACCGTGGACGAAGCCATCTCTCATAAGTTGTAGCCACGAAATCCTATGTTGGCTCTTCAAGTGAGAAAACGAAATGATGGAGCTGTCCACTTGGTTTTGCGATAAGCAGCTGGAGCCCTAGCTTTCGGCATTTCAGTTTTGCCGACTCCGTCTTTTTTTTTTTTTTTTTTTTCATTTTATTGGATATTGGAAACAATTGGTGATACATGAATAAAAGAACTTGAAGATAGCAACTATCTAATTTATTCTAATAATGGATAAGCACGACTCTATTATCGCTTTGAAATAGAATCCCAAAGGTTCCCTAAGAACCCCAAATCATATATATTTACTATTTCCTTGAGACTTTGTACCTGTGTCCACCTTGTGTCAATCGGGGCATCGTATCTGGCAGGCTGTTTTATTGAGTTTCGTTCGTCAGTGAATGTATATCCTACCCTAGGCGGTTGGCCGTTGGTATATATAAGTGTCTGGTCACTTCGTTTCGGCCAGACGATATCCTCGTCTCTCGGATGTTTGTCATGTTGTGGGCGGACTTCCTTAGCCTTTGCTATATATGCAAAGCCATCACTAATATCGTCACGCCATTCTCCCCACTTACTACTTTCATTTGTAGTCATCCCAGACCATATAAGATAAATATGGTAAAGAAACATTGCTGAAGATAAAGGGGCGCAAAGTAGTGACAATAAAGTAATGGCGCCGATTCGAAGATCATCCGTAAGGGCCAAAAGCCAAAGGTCTAAGAGCACCATCATGGGCATATCTGTGCTCCAATGTCGGGTAGTGGTAGGGCTAACAGCCCGCTGTAACGCCCCATCCATAATAGAATATCCAAGAAATGAACCATAAAAAAGGAGCACTGATGTAAATAAGAGCAGCCCTAGGAAGTAATGATAGTTGTTCCGGCCCACACAGGTGCGCAACCATACGCAATGATGATCGTGCCGCGCAACACAAGACTTGCAGAGGCTGCAATGCTTGCTGCGGGCAGGTTTCAAGTGATGACATGTTCTACATGTCATGTTCGGGTGAAATATCATATTATCATAAGGGTATTCATGTAGATATTTCGAGTGATTCTCAGGGGTAATGGCGGAATTTGAGTTGACACTGAGATAGAGAAATGCGTAAGGCAAAACAACGACGACAGGGACCATAAATTTGTGGATAGTATTCAGTCTTGCCCACGCGGCCGGTATGAAAGTAGCCTCAGAGATAACGAGCAAGCCGACAAAGAAGATCTTTTTTCAGTTAACCGTCAGAATGCATTGGCAAAACCGTCAGAAAGAGAGGTACTACATACCAAAACCAACGGATGGTTTTCGTTCATGAGATAATTGCCCGTCCTTCCACAGCAACTTAGTAACCTTCCTCCCAATAAATATCCATCTGCGTTTCGGACGTATCTAGGAATGTGTATCCAGACAAAACGATATATATAACCGACTGGGGTTTTTCTGCTGAACTTTAGTAGCTGTCATACCAAGAATATAACGAGGAAAGGCATATAATTTTACCTAAAAGCTGGAATTCGGCCAAACAGAGTGATGAAGACGAGCAGCGAGAGAGCTAGGATAGCCCCGACGATTTCCTTCAAAATCCCCATTTCCACACACCTTGCCCAGGGACACCAAATGCCCACGAAGAGGCGATCAAGACCTGCCCCCAGGTCCTTACAGACCTCCCTCAAGTTTAATTCTAGAAGGTGACTGGCATCTGCTTCTGCCTGGTTAACCTTAAACCCTTTATTTCTTTGTCGCCTTGCTGGAGAACGGCCGGGGGCGCTTATCTTCACGTGACCACGTGGCGCTTTCAGGCGCGCCTGCCCTTGACGACCGCGAAGCTCAACGTTCTGAATCTCGCAAGACTCCAACATCAATTCCAACATCAATACAGCTTCCGATATAACGATCGCGTTGGTATTCCAAATGGATGGATCAAGTGCCCACCCCCCTGGTAATGACGCCGACACTCTCCAGCCTAGCTCGCCCCCTTTGCTGTTTAAAGATATGAAGTTTTGGTTATCTATGACTGTTCCTCAGCGGACTCATATGAGACGTCAAATTGAAGTGAGTTACGGATAATTAACTTTCGACTTTTTCAAGCCGTAATGTGACTGTTTGTTTATACTAATTTCACCTAGGCACACGGTGGGCGAGTAGTGATCCTGGAAAAGGATGCTGATATCCTTCTCGTTGATCATCTAAAAAGGAGAACAAACCCGGCACGTCAGTGAGCTGCCTCATACACCCTATATCCGCTCGAGTACTGATAACTGATACCCAGCAGTTACTCGTATCAGTTTGTGGAGCGTTCAATTCGTCAAAGAGTACTCCAAGAACCAGGTGAATTTTTAGTTGGAGCTCCTCGTGGAAGTGTCCGGCAGCCTACCATCGGTCCAGCAAAACGGTATAGGAACCCGTTTACTGCAGAAGATGATAAAACTCTATACGATTGGATGGAAAGATACAAACTGGCTGGTGGGGCAGTTTCTGGAAATAAGATATATCAACAATTAGAACAACAGGTACCCAAAGCCATTTTCATCTATGAGAGAGAACAAATTCTAAACTTTCCATTTAGCATCCGAACCATACATGGCAAGCATGGCGTGACCGATATATAAAAAAGGTTAGTTACCTTCCACGGCCAGGTCCATTTACCAAAGCGGACAGAGATGTCCTCCTTGAAAATGCGGAAGATATCTTGCAAGTTTCGCCAGATGCAGAAGATGAGATGTGGTCGGAATTTGCCAAAAATGAAGTATGTCCCCGTTACCACGTTAGTGCCCCTTGGTTTCCTAACATGGCGGTGTTTCAGAGTAGACATTCAGCAACAGAATGGAAAAACTACTTTCATACATATGTTCGTCCGATCCATGAGTCAAAATTGAGGAAAAAGCGGCAAGCAATGCCCAGGTACAGCAGTATATCCGATACCACAAAAGGATCACGAGGATATACAAGCGCGATAGATAGCAGGCAAACAGGCGGAAGAGGCAGTGACGCACAGATCCCTCAAGCAAAGAGAAGGCGTACCCTGCCCGACTGCTTCGTCTCCAGTGATGTCAATCATACCGGTGCAGATAGCAGGAAAGACAGCAGCGTAGAACTAGAGTCCACCCTATCTCGCAGCTTCTCTATAGGGTTCTCTAAATCACCAGTTACATTAAGGGAAGAGTCACATAGGCAGCACATGAACTCCAAGCAACAAGAAATACCCCCTCAAAGTGTCGTCCAAAATCCAAGGCAAAGCCCGCATTTAGTCGCGGAAGGTACACATAACATCAACGCCGAACAATATAATGTCGAAGATGAAGCCGAAAAGGTTGCAGAATGGATTAGATCTCGAGTATCACGCAGCCGGGGTGTGTTATCTGAAGAGCAAGTTAAAATGGCTCTCCGCTGTACATCCCTGGATCGTATCCTTGCTGATGAAGTGCTCAAATATTTTCAAGCTGGGAAGGGTATTCCCCTCGACATGAAAGGGGTATGGAGTGAAGAGGACGATGCTGCACTTCAAGGGGTAGATCCCCGAAACATCGCGCGCATTGAACAGAAGCATGGAAGAGAAGAATTTGATGTTCGATTTGAATACCTGACGGATTTGAGTGAAGCGCTTTATGGAGAACGGCATTGGACATTTCAAGCATATCAAACATACACAACCTCACGAGATAGTTAACAATCTTGGTAAACTGTGCTTCACCGTCGTCAACATAAACTTTCTTATGAATCGTAGAAAATATGCAATTTATCGAATAAGTGTAATCCAGGCTAACGCACCGTAATACTCCAAGTGTACAAGTTAATGGGCATAAAGAGGATGAAATGTAAGAGAAACAACAGACGATAATGCTAGTAAAACAAGACAGCTAACTGTTCGTCGCTGCCTAGCCAGCTAAATAAGCCGGTGTTAGAGTTAAAGGGGGAAGGGGCGTTACAAAATGGTGAGCACAGATATCTAGGCACTCAGGTAACCAGTGGGAGAGAAAGGATTCTAGTCGTCCAGGCTTGAAACGTGTAACAGAGGCTGGCGATGGAAGGTGGAAGACCATAACAATTGGATCCTACATCCGCAGCTCACAAAATAGGTCTTATGAATAATATCGAGGTCGGTACAGGTCATGGTGTTGATGCCTATTAATAGTTAATGTTGACCCTCCAGCGTGCCATGACCAACCACAAAATAATATTAGATTCATACTTCTTTAAATACCCTACAGAAGGCAGTCAGCTCTCAAACCTCACTACTAATGCAATTAGGAAATAACTTACAGGTGTTGTTCATAGAATTTAAGCATCTATTCGAAAAGGTTAGCATTGTGATCTCTTAGATTAGATATTTGACCATCATACCATCTGAGGGCAGCGTTCGTAGCAAGTCTGAATTGGGGCTCTCGACTTCCTTCCATTTTTCCATTCCAAATAGACAACAAGCCCATCACCATCGGGGTCACGTAAAACTGTGCTAATGTAGCTCAGCTCTTTCTCCCAGCCACCTGCAGGAGGTGCCCAATCCGTATCTTCAGGGGAAGCTTCCTGGTCCGGCGTTCCAACTTTGATAGAGCTGGGCTTCCTGCCTCTCTTTGTTGGTTTGTCTGGTGTAGATGATGCTTTATCCGCTAGCGATTTCCGTTTCTTTGTGGGCTTTTCGGGTCGACCGCCAATCTTCTTAAAGTATTCTTCGAGGGTCTCTTGCGCTCCGTCACTATTAACTCAGTTTAGTGATTGGGCAGACAATTTCAGAAAGAAAAGTGAGGTAGCTAGTACAGCAAGTTCTCCTCTGGTTCTACAGTCATGTCCGAAGGGTCATCGTATCCTTTCCACTTCACTTCGAATTGGAGCTTTCCCTGTTCAATTCGCAATGTTAAACGCATGATCAGAAGAGCACTGCGGCGCCTGAGGGTAATTGCCGGACCTTCTTGTCAAAGCTATGCCCTACAACTCGCTCCACGACATATCTATCCACCCATTAGCCATTGCCGCGCAACAAAAAGGTAGCCAGGTGATTGCGTTACTTACACGTCCTCGTCACCATCTTCAGCTTCGTCATCTTCGTCATCTTCACTGTTCTGGTCGTCTTTCTCATCATCCTTTACGGGTTCGGCTCCCTCGTCCTCCTTGCTGTGGAAAGGAATAGCTTCGCCGACGGACTCCTCGTCACTAGATTCAATATGTGCTTCAAGCTGTCAGTAACCCGGATATGGAGAAGCATAAAAGCAACAGTACTCACGAGGCATGCCGACGACTTCTGCGAGATGAGACGAACAGCCAAGTAGCTAATAAATGACAGGCGCAGTTTCAGCAACTAAAAGCCAACCAGGATAAAGTGATATCAAGCTTGCGCCGGCATTTGAAAACTGGCAAACTGCAAAGTTCCATCCAGACGTTGTCGCGAAATCGCGTCTTGTTTGAGAGCAGTATTGCGCTAGTCCGCCTTGGGAAATCACCTCCCACCAGGATGACTAAGCCTTCACAGCGCCTATTTTTGAATTTAATTATTGTCAAAGCTGGGAGGCTTCAAGTTCGCGGTTAATAAGACAACAGCATACTATCGCGACCAGCTGAAGGGTGTCGACCTTGTTCTACCATTTGGGGGGCCTCGGAAAAAAGAAGAAACCTTTGTTTATAAAAATACCCAGTGGCGCAACTTCAAGATGGCTATGCGTATGTCAACTGGAACAACCACCCCCACTCCCCTCATTACAGAAGACTTACTGATGTGTTGGTATAATAGAGCTTGACATGTCCCAAGGTATTTGAGTGATTTCCTGGTGGTATTATTATCCATTATTTATCTAACCTAGACATATGAAGCCTCCGTGGTGAAGGACGAGCAGGGACGCCCGTTCATCGTTGTTCGAGAGTAGGCCGTTCCTCCCAAGTTTTGCAGCTACAAGTTCAGGTCTAACCCTGGCATTTAATTGATAGTCAGGGAAAGAAGAAAAGACAACATGGCACCGATGCAGTCAAATCTCATATTGTTGCGGCAAAGACAGTGGCCAATATCGTGAAGACCTCACTGGTAAATTGGCCTCTACCCTTTCTACAACGGCAGCAACTATGTGCTAATACGTCCTGGGGTTTTTTTTATAGGGTCCTCGGGGGTTAGATAAAATCCTAATTTCTCCAGATGGTGACATCACCATCACAAACGATGGCGCCACTATCCTTTCACAGGTCTGCGACGTTCCTTACCCACCGATTCTAAGTAGCTCTCTAACAGATACCCGGTGCTAGATGGAAATATCGAACCACGTTGCGAAATTGCTAGTTGAGCTTTCGAAATCGCAGGACGAAGAAATAGGCGACGGTACAACTGGTGTTGTCGTATTAGCCGGAGCTCTATTGGAACAGGCCGCGGATTTGATTGATAAGGGGATTCACCCGATCAGAATTGCGGACGGCTATGACCAGGCCTGTGATATTGCGGTAGCACATCTCGATAGTATCAGTGACAAAGTCGAGTTCTCACGAAATGAGCAAGAGAACCTGTTCAAGGTAGCAAAGACTTCCTTGGGCAGCAAGATGTATGCTCTCGACTATACCTTCTACTTTGCACATTTATACCCGGAGCTAATTAGCTAACGAATGGCTTTAACAGTGTATCAAAAGCGCATGACCAATTTGCAAAGATAGCAGTTGATGCTGTCCTCTCTGTCGCTGACTTAGAAAGAAAGGATGTTGACTTTGAATTAATTAAAGTTGATGGAAAAGTTGGCGGCTCCCTGGAGGACTCCCTTCTTGTCAAGGGTGTCATCGTGGACAAAGATTTTTCTCACCCTCAGATGCCTGATGAAGTGAAGGACGCAAAAATCGCTATCTTAACGTGCGCATTTGAGCCACCGAAGCCAAAGACCAAGCACAAGCTTGATATTACCAGTGTGGAGGAGTTCAAGAAGCTCCAGGCTTATGAGAAAGATAAATTTACTGAGATGATAAAGCAGCTCAAGGATATTGGTGCTAACCTTGTCATCTGCCAGTGGGGCTTTGACGACGAGGCTAACCATCTTCTCTTGCAAAACGATCTGCCCGCAGTCCGATGGGTTGGTGGCCCAGAGATCGAACTCATTGCCATTGCCACTAATGGCCGGATTGTTCCTCGATTTGAAGACCTGAGTGCTGAGAAACTTGGAACTGCTGGTGTTGTGAGAGAGATGACTTTTGGAACTACAAGGGAGAAGATGCTGGTGATCGAGGATTGCGCAAACACCAGAGCTGTCACTGTGTTTGTCCGAGGTAGCAACAAAATGGTATGCCAATATTTTTCCTGCAATCCATGTTGCATTACTCATTTTTACTAACAATCCCAAAAAATAATTAGATCATTGATGAGGCTAAACGTTCACTGCACGATGCACTTTGTGTTGTGCGAAACTTGGTTCGGGATAACCGTATTGTCTATGGTGGAGGTGCTGCAGAAATTGCCTGCTCCCTCGCTGTAGAGGAAGCTGCCTCAAAGGTCTGTTTGTCCCATTGTCATATATAATTTATCGACCATATTCATCTAACGTATGTCCGAAGACCCCTGGCCTTGAGCAATACGCGATGCGAGCGTTCGCAGATGCATTGGATGCTATTCCATTAGCACTAGCTGAAAATTCAGGATGGAGTCCAATTGAAACCCTAGCCTCTATCAAATCGAAACAAGTTAAGGAGAAAAACAGCAGGCTAGGCGTGGATTGCATGCAGACTGGAAGCAATGGTAGGTTTATATAATGAGCATATCTATCGAATAACGGCGGCTTTCTAATACTTTCTTCTATCTTAGACATGAGAGACCACTTTGTCATTGACCCTCTAATCGGCAAACGTGAACAGTTACTCCTTGCTACTCAGCTCTGCCGTCTCGTTCTCAAGGTACCTAATATCCATTTTCAAGGGCTCCTTTTTCCTTTACTGCCCTGAGAACTATACATCTTACTCGGAGCTAACCCGGCCTCATAGGTGAACAACGTCATTATTGCTGGTGAAGACAACGATGAGTTCTAAATCCTGTCTTACCCTCTCTCAACTAAGCAAGATTCGTCCGGAGTGGTGTGTAATTAGATGGGTCGGTAAGCTGGTTTCCCTCAGTTTTTGATCGGAGAAATTTCTCCTTTCTTCTCACTTAATAGAAACTGATATTCACGTATCGCTCATCTGCAACCCTGCAGGATTCCAATATGTGATACCAAAATAAATCTATGTGAATAGACAAAAGTGAAATAAAACAAACTTGATCATATTTCTCCCCCCACGCTCAGTTGAGGTTTATGCAGAAGAGGCCAGAACAAAAACTTTTCCATGAGTCTAAATTGTTTATACCAGCTGATACTGACTCTCACTTCCTGGCGTCTGCCCAACAACCAAGGACCCTTGACCGCCAAATAATCCCGATACAAAAATTAAAAATTAACAAACTCCGTGTTTCAAGTGTCTGGCTCATGCACTTTTCTTCTTCTCTTCTGTCATTTCACTTTATGTAGCGGCCATCACCCCCAGAAGCTACTGACATGGCAGCGAGTATATGTACTTCATAGATGTAGCCTGACTCGTATATGTTCAGGTGGCTAACCTGGCTTCTACCATCGCCCTGGGTTAAGAAGCCAACGCAGAATCCTCCTTGGCCAGGCGTCTAGAGATGCAATATTTTATCCCCCTGGACTAGATACCTTTACAAACACACACCTTTGTACGAAAATGAAGCAACTCGGCATTATATCAACACTTCTGCTTTTCGATATGTGAATATTCCTGTCAATAATACCCCTTACTATGGGCTCTTTCTTGCTCGATGCACCGGTGAGCTCGCCTCTTCTGTCAATGACCATCTCGATCTATGGCAGCGTTTCGGAATCCAGTCCCCGAATACTATTCAAACTGCAGCTGCCTCGTGAGATTCATGAGCATATCTATCCTTGGAGATCTTCCAACTTGACGATATCTGTGCCTTCGGACCTGAGCATTATTGGTTCTCTCTATCCAAGGATCCTTGACCAACAAGCAATCCCATATTCACTCATCTCATCAGGCAGAGTATATATTTCCATATGGGAGTATCCGATACCGAGATCCTGCACTTGTTTATGCATTCGCCAATGGCTGGCTGGCTATGAAGCTCTTCGGAGCGAAATAAGGTAAAGAATGCTCAGGGGCTCTTCGAAATATATCAGATTACTTCAGTTGCTACACATAGTTGTCGGTAGGATAAACATCCCAGAGCTTTATGGCAGAATTCTACTCCGCACAAAAGAGTTAAAAAAAAAAAAATTTAATTTACGTGCATTGAGAAAGCATTGAGAAAGCATCATTCTGTAGTTACTCAGTGTGTATTTTGAATCCAGCTTGCAGATACCCTGACCGCCACACTACAAGATGGACGACTGCATATCCAGGCCTACGTTCGAGCTACTATTCAGATGTCCTGCAGCGCACCCCATGCATGCATTATTTTTCATTTCACAGGACACATGAAGGATAGTAATTCGTTATATCTCCCTCCCCGTCATGGTGTGTGTGGACGACGTATCCTCGCCTCCCCCCTGTAACAACACCGCACAACTCCGAAAGAAAAATATCATGCCAGCCAGCTTGCTGACACCCTTTATGCCGGCAGCTGCTGCAAAACAGGGAAAAAAGAAAGGTTGTCTCTTCCAAACCCCAGCTTCACGATGCAAGACAAGTCATATAACTATCTATCTACCTACGCATTGACCCCAGGGCCTCTCTTGCAGCCGTCGATTTGACGGCCAGACAGAGACAGGGAAAAGTGACCCCAGGGATGGAGTTATTATCTCTTACAAGTCGAAAATGCATTTTGACCCCAGGGTTCATTGAGTCCGCTGTACTCCGTAGGTACCTGCTTTTCGCACACCCAAGTACCAGAGCAGACATGACCTATGCCATCGTGGCTGGAGGACGTGTGCACTCCATACTAACTTGTTACATTATTGCTATAAAAAGACCCTGTTGGGTAGTGGCTTTATTCTCATTCTTCAGCAGCAATAATTCAATAACCTACCCAGGTCCCCCGCTGGTTAAGAGGGCCACATCCACATAACGAATCTGTGTCCAAGGGCCATGGCCTAGGGAGTAACTATATTAGCATGTTTTGGTAGCTCCCCGGGTTTACGAGTACTCCGTATTACTTCCGCGAACCTGGAGTATCGAGGCAGAATCTGCACTTTACACGATGGAGTGTGTGGAGCAAAAGCATTCGAATGGAGCAGACTAAATAAGATGCAGAGACCGAGGAAACAAGATGGCTACCCATTTTGCAGGTAGAACCTACCAGGGCTACGGCTGAGATGGCTGGAAGGCAGGACGAGACGGGAGACAAGGGACTGTCCGCCACCACCAAAAGGATTAGTGCCATGTTTATGCTCCATAGTGGCTACGCCTTGACTTCACATGCCAGACTGAGGCGTGATCTGACGAGCCATGGGGTTGTTACAAAACGCTGTGCGTTGCGCGACAGGCCTGGCAAAAGAGCGAAATGTGACGTGGTAGGGGGTTGGACTTGGTTATAGTTATGGCATGCATGCCCCTGACTAGTTACAGGCAGAGGGAGGGAGACAGAAAACGACGAAGACACCCGCCTTCCAGTCGACTCTCCCTAAGTACTCCGTACCTGGTCAGCTAATGTACCGTCAAGATACTCACCGACTGATCGGAGGTGAACGGCAATGGTGCCAATGGTCAAGTGGTCGGCGAATGACGAAGCCCTTCCTCGAGGAGAACAGAGCATCCCGTCTCATCTAGACTCGATATCGAAGCAAAAAGAAACGCAGGCTTTCAACCTTCACTTCAGCTTCGACTCCCACCAGGAGTTCCCTAGGCAAAGTTCTCGGTGTGTGGCTCAACCGCAGCGCTAACTAGAGAGGTTGGGGATTCTTGGAGATCACCGCCAAAGATCCATCTATCTCGATCTGAACCCCGAGAGTCAGGGCGAGGTGTCGATCAGCCCGAAGCCAAAAAGCCCTTTGCAGCCGTCCACGCGCGAAGACATGTGCTGGGTGGGCAGAAATCGATAGTGCTGGAATAGTGCAGTCCACCTCAATTAGTGCTCAGAACACAGGATGGGGGAGGTAAACCCGTGTTAGACACCGATACAGAGAAGTCCTCCGTACAGAAGGCAATAACTAAAATGCAAAAATGAACAACTTTATATTCTGGTTTATTTTCTGGTCTGACTATCGTATATGCGAGTTGGATGCATAGTCTTTTGTCTTCTTAATTTTGCCTTCCTTTTTTTTTTTTTTTATGATAATTGATGGTTAAAAAAAAAAAGCTCCTTGGAGTACGGAGTATGGGGCACGGCGACAAGCGGTGCCGGGAGCTCAGCCCATACATTGATATACTCCGAACTCCATCACTTGTTGATTGGGCCAGGATTAGATTCGGAGAATTAGGAGCAGCGTTGTCTGCGGAAGAAACCTTTTGACTTGCGAGTGGCTGCCCTATCACCTAGTTATCTCCGTACAGTGTAGAGTTAGATTGAAGAATGAAGGCAAGAATGACAACCACCACAGCGGCCATTGTAGCGATACTGCTTTTGCACAGAGTTAGAACTTGATAATGGGAAGCAAACCATATGCATCTCCACATTTTAAAGTCCATCATGCAACCCAAGCTACTCCGTACATAGTTGGCTTATGTTTGATAGCCGAAGCGGAGTCTGTACATTAGTTTCCAGGCAAATGAACTTACCTTAAGCTTGCTGTAGACAGCATGCTCACCTGCCATCATTCCATCCATCACGTTTGCCATCTCTCCACTGCTGTCATTGTGATCCCATCAGCAGCTGGTATCAAGGGAGGTGGTAAGTTGAAGACCTCAGCAGCTGGCCTCTGGCAGCTTTCGCATTTCCACACCCCAATCAAGGGACATGGTGCTCGGCTACTGAAGTAGGTTCCAGGCTTCATCATCCTTGGCCCCTTGCCACCTCCGCCAGTGCTTGATTCTCCCGTCGATGTCCCAAACTTGAACCTATCATAGTTTCTTAGTAAAGGGTCTCTTTTGAGAAGCCGGAGCAAGGATAGTGAGCTTGGTTAAGGGGCCTTACGATATGGGGGCCTCCAAAGTCCATAGATATGGTAACTTTGACGAGAAATTCAAAAGACCTTCTGTCTCTTGCATCTATATAGCAGTCCATGGTGTCAGTGTCAAAGGCGAAGAACCACTGCGTGTCCCACTGCAGCTCACCTGGCCGGAGATCTCGTCCTCTGCCACCTCACTTCAGGCCAGCAAGCAGAGAAGAAGCGAGATCTGTCCCACTGATATGTCCGTTGTTTTAATGACTGCTAATCTAGGTGTCATCCTTGCTTTCTACGCCCATTATTTGCGAGAGTGTGCCTTTTATATCGGCTGTCGTCGAGGTATGATGTCATGTAACTAACTAGTTATTTAACTAGTTAAGTTCTTGCTGACGACAACGACGAACCACGGTTCATCCGCATCCATGGACCATAGCTGCCAACGAAGTCACGATAAACAAACAGAACGCCATCCATCCTCATCAACCGCGGCATACTTTCAGCGATGGGCCTCTGGCGGCCTCTGCTCTTCACCCCTGGTTGACCCATATCAGAAATAGAGTGCCAGCAGAGAGCCAGCGTCCTGGTGCTTGGGCGCGCGCTAGGAAACTATAACATCACCCCCTGAGTCCATAGCGTTACCTGTGGTGATGCTGCTGCTGGCGTTAACGATAGCGGCGAGCCTGGCTAGACATGGTCTTATTTTTCAAAAGGCTCGCTCGTTCGTTTTTCACTGATGGCTTTTGCGCTTCCTCTGGTCCTGGCTAACTACAGAGCCGAACCCACCAGGATGGCCCAAAGACGGGCCGTGTATCATGGCGCTTCCACCATTGCTATATCCACACCAAAAAGAAAAGAAAGGAGCCAGTTAATCCTGCAGAATTGCGCAGAGTAATATCTGTCAAAGCCCAGTGCAAAGCGTCAGATTGCACTGACTAGCACCAAACGATTGGATATCAAGCGTCAGGGGCATCGGTTTGGGTGTACACGCCAGTGGTGGAATATCAGAATTTTTTATCCTTTGTCGCGAGGCACCCCCTAGGCCCGCTGCCGATTTTATCGCCCTGCAAGACTCTTACTCCACAAATACTAGTACTCCGTACACATGACACAATAAACAACATGGGAGAATACGAGAGGCTCAAAAAATAGCTTGAAGTCGAAAGGCGGATACGTATGCCAGCTTCCCCGGAACTGACATATCATAATCCACCACCTCTTTCGACAAGACCCAGCAGCGAGGAATGGACATCAAGAAGTCGTGTTAACCATAAGGTTGACGCTACTTCGTATGGACCTTGAAAAAATCGAGGGGTCGTGGATTTGCACAGTTTGGCCAGTATTGAGATATATCCTACCCCCATAGCACAACACATTAAGTCCGCAAATGCGAGCACCCGTTGCCCCATAGTTAAATTGATCAGAATGAAGAATTCAAGGGAAAAAGGAAAATGAATTGAAGCGAAATAAAAAAGAAACAGGGTGGTGTATCCGGTCCGTCCGTACAAGACAATTACTGAGACCTACGGAGTACTCCCCTGGAGAATACCAGGTCTCGTGGTGCCCTCGAAATTCCGCCAGCCCCCGCAACGACAAGATAACTATCAGTCACCCCTTATTACTTTTTGCTCTTCGCTGCACGTACCCCATCGACACATAACGCAGCATGCGCGAAAAATCCTCGCTCGACTCCATCACGTGGAACATGCGATTAGGGGCCATATTTAACGGGGGACCAGCGACTTCTCCTCGCAGCCAGTAAAATGCAGAAGAAAGCGTGAAATGAGTGGCGCCACCGACATAAAACGACCCAACGAACAGGCAGATATCTGCCATATATGAATCACCTGAGTAACTGCGATGCAGTTATTCATCTCCTCCTTCGTACTCCTGCGTGCAGGTCCAGTGTCTGTCTTTGGTGTCGAAATATGAGAAACAGGGTAGAACCAGGATCGCTTGTCAGCAATCCCCCAACCAGCATGCTACATGGTGTAGTATTCATCTTATTTTCAAAGAGGAAAAACTAGTTAGTTACCATATGCTGTAAAACAGATTTCAGAACGGACTGAGTAAATATCATGTCCCCGGAAACGTAACCAAGCAGCTACCCTTCTTCACAGAAGGCTGACAGGGTAATGGGATTGATTTTTATCGAAATAAGAGCCAACAACATAAGAAATCGACAGTACATGTGACCGCTTGTCGAGGCTGAGGTCATCAATTATTGCTTATTTTTTGTTTCAGGGCCTTAGACCTTGCTCTGCAGCCATTGATGTGGCGTATGCGATCAAAATGGAGCAATGTCATATATTGTTGAGTGCTTCGAGAGGATCAAGGCTTCTCACACTCTGGATTGCGGAGCACACGGGGCAATGTTTCTCTCAGAATATGGTAAAAACGAAATAAATGGCTTTGGAGTCATTCATACACTTTCACAGTATATTGAATACCGGTTGTGTGCATACGTTGTGTTCATGCAATATATTATGCAACACAGCCGGGGCAAAGTCCAGAACTCTCGAGAATTGGCGAGCAGCTAGTTAGCCGGATTTATTGAGTTAGTTGCACTAGGATATACCGCGAGGAACTCGACGTAGATATCTCATGTGCATGAATTACTTGCATGGTTGGACGGAATGCAGTCATTCTAGACATCTGGGACTTGGAGAGACATCAGACAGAACCGCCACGAATTCCACGAACTGTTATCACTCATACAAGCCATGTACGAGATGGAAGTACGAGGCGATGAGGAAGAATAGGGAAAAGGACAGGGCAGAGGTAGTAGGTAGCCTTGGTAATTGAGTTGCATATCGATAAGAAAGATATACATAACTAGTCCGCCCTAGTAAGAGGCACAACTATGGCGTATGATAGAAGGCCGAAGAGAGAAGGTGAAGATGATTTCTAATTCTTCATGACATTCTCTCTGGATGTTTAAGTTCCAAGGGCCTGTGGGGTTTGAGAGGACATAGGTGTAGAAGTGGCAAGTGGATGTGCCTGCAGCGTAGCAAAAGGATTGGTCTTGGGACAGGTGTCATATCTTGAGAAATCGACCAGAGGGACGACCAGCTTTGAGAACATCTATAACGTGAGCAGATATAGCTTTTTGAAGAAATCGAATGATCAAATAGGTTAATGGACCTACGGTCCATCGCGTCACTGCATATTTACTTGGATAGGACGGTCTTGGGTGAAAAGAAATAAGGACACCCCTCTGTGAAGAGGAAGAGTAAAAAACATATTAAAATAAAGAAACCCTGCATGAATCTGCAAGTCATAAAAACAAAGCAGAATCAACAAAAAGGAAAACGGCTGAGAAAGGGAAATCGATCGGCGAATCTGCAGAGACGCACAAGCACCACACCAAATGCTATTATTTCAAAACTATTTTCTATTGGCGGGAATAGGAAAAAGATTTGGGGAAAAGAGCATATATTGTTGTACAATATATACGAAGATAACACAGCCTTGGTGAGAGAAACGTAAAAAATCAGCCAAAGAGGTGAAATAGACGGCTATTTGAGAACCAAAATTCCAAACATAGCACGAATCAAGGGCAACTTAGGTAAACGGGGGTGGTCAGCATATTCGTCAGAACAGATATCGAGAGATAGATATCAAGGACACCGACACCCCTCCATGCCTAATCGTGCATTTGTGCAGCAAATTTGAGCTTTGCCTAGCTCTTTGACGTCTCCTTCATTTTGGCTTGGGTCGTACGAGAAAGGTTGAGTATGCACATGAGCACATTTCTCCTCAAGCAGACGGGAAGAGGCGTTTAAAATACCTTGAGCGGCTCCATCCTTTTTCCCATAGCGAGCGCGTACCGCTACTAAGGGTCACTCGTTGATGAAGGGCGACAAGAGGAAACGTAAGATGCTATAAGCTTCAATGATCTGATTTAGATTTGGGAGCAAAACGGTTTAGAAAAAAGAGAGAACTCCCTTTCTTTTTCTCTCCCCCTCCCGCCCCTAGTCAGTTGTTCATGGAAATAAGATCTGTGGCACAGAAGTTCCTCAATTTATCTGTTACGAGAAGCAAATTTGGAGTTCGTGGCTGGCTCATGAGGCCGAACCCGAAGGTTTATCGACTCATGGGGGAGAGCTGAGCGGGCTGGCATTACGCGGGAGGCCGTTCGAGGCTGAAGCATGTCATCTGCCTCCGCCACTGAAGCAAGTAAATCAGCGTAATGACATCTCTCCTTGTCCGATCACCGCGCTTAGTGGGCGACCAGGCTCGTGCAAGTTGAGACGTACAGCAAAGCTGAGCAAGAGGCGGAAGCGTATAGGCCTTGGTCTAGCCCCGATGTTTTACCTGCACGAAGACTTGTGACGGTAAATATGCCTTCATGTCCTTCGATAGGTAGTAGGCCACTATTTATTGAAAGATCAACTGCCAGCAAGACGTGTATCAGTTGATTTGTTCTGGATATCGTTCGTCGAGAGAAAGTGAAACAAATTTTGATCCAGAGTGTGCAATCAAAGTATTGAAAACAAATAGCTAGTGTGGTATCATTCCCGCTTCGAGGTGTACAGTAACGCACAAGGACTCGGTACATTAACCACGGCAGCCAATATCGAGAGCAAGCTGATGTCCTCCGTATTGCCTGAAGATCCTTGAGGTCGGGATGTCGTTAGTTACCCCCTTGCTGATGTAAGCAGCTAGCTCCCGCCCACGTCCCGTCCAGATTAAGTCACGTGATAATCTCTCTGTTTCCCCAAGCTCAGAATGGCGATCTTCCTTATCCAGCGCGCCATCGATTCGATAGGTTACCTACACACGGGCTGAAAGAGCAACATACTGCAGAAGACCCAACGAAGACGAATACCAACGGCAGCCTGCTTGAGAAACAGGAGGGAGAGCGTGGGAACGGGGGTTAAGTGCCCCGATTTGGTGTAAATATGCTAATAAAGAGCAATACTAGCTCGAGGAGAAGCGAACGCAAGTCGACTATCCGCTTCCAGCAAGTCGAACAGTGAGCCGGGAGCCGCAGTCATGGTCGCAACTAGTTCATCGCAGCAGCTAGTCAAATTGAAACCCAGTATGCTGGGATTGTGATGGGATACATCGCCTTTACCAGCGACTAGCCAACATTCACAAGACACATAGCACAGGGATACGACCAGACATTGACCAACGACGCGAGATACACAACACAAAGCAAGCCAACAGCACCCAGACACAAACACAGAGAGCGCGGGCTGAAAATGCCTATGCACTGACCCTTTTGCAGTCTAGATTGCCTTTCTCCAGAGCCATGATCCTTGTTTCCGCATCGATTATTTGTGAAATGGTCTGCCATTTCAAGCTAGAAAAAGAGAAGACGAGTCGATACATTTCAAAAGTACGAGGGTAAGGAAAGAAGAGAGAAGAGGGAAAAAAGAGAAGACGATAATGCAGCGGCCACATGATGGGAAGCAAGCTATTATATGAATCAATGCCTTGAAACCCTCAACTCCGCCGCGAATTGCTGCATCCCATCCACCAGGTTATTGGTTTTCGTTTCTTTTGTTATTCTTGCACGGAGTGAAATTATTACTCCGCCGGGAAGCACGAGGACAGGCAATACAGACAACGCTGGTGCAGCAACCCCTTACATGCTTGCGCTATGC